CCCCGAAGGCGGCGGCAGCCGAAGGAGCGGGAGGCGGCCCCGGGCGAGTGAGTGAGTGGGGGCCGCGACACACATTCATTGCCCCCACACACGTGCATATGGACACGTGCGATTTGCGCGTCCACACACGGTCACTGCACATGTCTAGGTGCACACATGAATTGTGCATGCATGCACTTGTATATGCACACGCACCTGTGTGTATTCATTATATGTGCACGTGCATGCGTGTGGAAGAGGTGTTTGTATGTGTCGAGTGTGTGTGTGTGTGTGTGTGTGTGTGTTACACACACACACACTTAAGTTAGTCTATAACGTGCAAATCTACCCTGCCTTCTACTTGACTTCAGATTAATTTAGCTGACAACTTCTCTCTGGGATGGCTTAGGCAGGTACCATCCTGCCTTGAGCAAGGAGGTTGGGCTAGGTGACCTTCTAGCTCTACTTCCCTGTGGTCATGCAAAACCTTGTGTGCTGACATCTTAGTGCTTTGATACTTCTGCAGGTACAAAACACTTGGCAAACATCAGTTCTTGCTGTGCCCACGCATAAGTACTTTAAGCCTAATTTAGTCATGGAGGAGCAGAGCTGTGAGGCAATTTAGCCATGGGTGAAAAGGAAGCAAGGATTTCTCTCTCAAGTCTTAAGCCTGTCTTGCTGAACTGTGCTACTTTTCAGAGTTTGAAATGAATTGAAACTGAAGGTGTTTGAGGAACAGCAGAACTGTCCAGGCACTGCAAGTGTTAACCCTGAGGAGCCAGCATCAGCTAAGTGTCAGTGCATGTGAGCATGACCAGGCACAGGGTACCCAACTGAAGGGTAATGGTGAAAGTGGAAAAATTTATGATTAGCGAAGGAGTTATAACTTTTTTAATGGGAACACAGCCAGTGTTTAATACATATATTTTAACCAATTGTTGCTGTTAAGTGGTGCATGTAACACCTATAGCTTGCAATAACTGGTGATCTTTCTCTGTCAGGTGCAGTTATGTGGAAAATAAAAAGCTTAACTGGTTTCAGGATTGAAAAGCCACTGAAAAATTTCATTATGTAGTGAGTAAAGTTGAGACTATTCAGTATGATAAGAGGAGAATCATGAAAGCAGTGATCTGAAAAGAGTGAAATCAGTGAAGTGTTTTAGTAGTTCACATGATTTCAGGATTGTGTCTGCGGATGAAATGTCTGAAAATTAAGGAAAAAATGGTCTTAGAGAAAGTGCTGGAAGGCTATTCTTTGGACTTATTTTTGGCTGGACTGAAAGCAATAGAACAGTGGTATTTAAATTATAGTTGTGTTTGGACTGCTGTCTAGTAGAACACTTCCATTAGTTGCAATACAGAAATGGTATACAGGGGATGTTTATTATTGGAGAGTGCAGGTATGTAAGAGAGGATCATTAAGCTAAGAAATGGTCATTTGGATAGCAACATTTAAAATTTTGTTAGGAAAATAGGCTATAATGGCAGCTGGTGATCTTTTTAAGGTTGTGGCTGGATTGACCCGGTGCATGTCAAAGGCAGGTAGAAGGGTAGTTGCTACGACCCAGCCATCCCTGCTGCTTTTCCCCACAGGGACCTGGGGAAGGCCCCGACTGTTGCACATTGCCGGCAGAGCCCGACCCATGCCTGCAGGTCAGATCAAAAGGTTCCACAGGTAGGATCCATCCTGCAGGTTCTAGGTTACCAAACTGTGGTCTAAAGGGAAGAACTATGCATTGGCAAGGTGATGGGCTAGTCCTGTGTTCTTATTACAGTGGCTTTTTGCTAGGTTTGTTTAAAATGATTGACTGTCATTACACTGACAGCATGTGTGTGATTATTTTGTGTATCACAATACCACAACTTTAGTGAAAATACTCCAGGGAAGAAATGCATGCTTTTACTGATTTTTTTGTGAAACTTACATATTGATGTATTTCTTCAGTCAGGATAGACTGGAACAGAAGACAAGCAAACCCAATGGCTCTTCTGCCAATGTGGAAGAGAGACAGAAGAAAGTGACTACTATATTCTGCTTGACAAAAAATGAAAAAGAATTTTATGTTCCAAGTGATGAATCTTGCTTAGCAAGTGTAGCCACACGCCAGAAAGAGAAGCATGCAGTGGAAATCAAAGAAGAATGTACACATAAAAGTCACGGAAGAATTTCTCAGACAGGTGACATGAAGGCATTTCTGACCCACCAAGCTGTTTGTGAAAACTGTGAAGTGAACTTGCCTGGGTTTAGCAACTCTTCAGCTATGGAGTCAACTGTAGATAAGTGAGTTTTTATCATATTAGCTTTGTTGTGATTTACAATACTAATGTCTTGTTAATAAAATGAGCATAACTGCTGAATGGAGTACTAGAGCTGCTTAAATAATTGATGTTTATTACTTCTGTATAGGATACTTGTTGAATCTTTTAATTTCTTGAGGTTGAGGGGATGTGTCCACAGCTCATTAATATCTTTTGGGTAGGTGGACCGTGTGTCATTCACTTCACTAATCTAAGAGAGAGGCTTGAAGTTTGAAGCCCTTTGAGACTGAATCCATTGACAGATGTAGAAATAGGTAGTACTCTTAATCGGGGAACCAGTTTTATAAACACAGAATGCTAAGATTAAGGATTTCTTTTATAATCTTAAAATTTTTATCATCTGCTGAAAAAGGCTGGTCTGAAAATCCTATAAAAAGCTCTTTGTCTGAAATAGGTAGAAGGACCACAAGCATCTGTGTCTATGGTTAAACATAAGGTACAACTCTTTTAAGAAGTATAACTTTTTTTAAGAACCTGGAGTTATCAAAGGCCTTAGGCGTGCAGGAATCCTGTATTTATGTATTAATGTATTAAAAGGACATTGCAAGCAATTAAAACGGCACATATTTGAGTAAGAATAGCTATGCTTTCCTGTTCCCTCACAGTATTTGGAGAAGTGGAAGAGGAAGAAAGTGCTGTATTTTACTTTCAGTCTATTGTTGGTTTATTTATAGAACACCATTCAAAATTCAGTGAATACAAAAATCATTTTCTCACTGTCTTAGGGTACACAGCAGAAAACTTCTTTTTTCTTTGTAAATAGATAAAGTGAATTAATGTAAATACTGACTGCTAGTTTTCACGTTTACATGAATTTGCTGTTTAAGTAGTTAATTTAAAACTGAAGGCGTTGTTTTCCTAATGAGTTAGCAAAGTAAATGCACCTTTGTGTGCGCTCCAGCTGGTACCAAAGTAATACCGAACCCTATTAACTACTTATAGGCTGATTTCAAAGCACCCACATAACGGTACTGTTGAGTTAAATTGGTTCAAAAAACATTTATCAAATTGCTGGAATTTCTACATGTAACTGTCTTATTCCTTAAAATTGTTATGTAAGTGGTATTCTTGCCTAATTAGCAGGGCTGCGCAAAGCTTTGGTCCCTGATTCGATTCAGCCAACGAAAATCAGGTCGACTCTCCGAATCCAAATTGAATCGGGGGACGCTTTAATCTTTGCAAATTGAATCGGAATCCTCCGAATGGATTTGGAGAGATTTAGGAAAGATTCGGCAATTTGGACGTAGGCACATTAAATGTTTTTTCTACATAACTCAAGGTACCAGGCAGCTGGTGAATGCTGTGATGGTGGGGTGGATGGAGCGTCCCACAGTAGTGTGGGGGGCTCCCCATTGCGGTTGGCAGCAGACCTGGAAGTGGACCAGAAGCACTTCTGGTCCACTTCCGGGTTCACCAGGGAGTGTGGGGGGGGGCCTCCTTAGTGCCCCCTGGGCTCAGCACCTGGTGCCTTCTGGGTTTGGGGGGGTTCCCTGTGTGCTTGGTGGTGGACCTGGAGGTGGACTGGAAGTACTTCTGGTCTACTTCCGGGTTTGCCACCAAGCACGTGGGGAGGGGGCCCGTGCTCCTGTGGGACGCTCCATCTGCCCCAGCATCGCAGCATTCACAAGCCACACCTGGTAGGTCCCTC